CTCTATTACTCAATTCTCCGGCCGCCATCCCATCTCCCCCCCCCCTCTCCCTTCTCCATCCCGCCATTTACACGTGGAGGATGAAGTCACCGGTAAGGCACGACGGCGACGACATTAAAGCTGGAGAGGTGAAAAAAAAACACGAATTGGGGAGTAGAGAAAGAGAGACAAAGAGAGAGAGGCATCGGGGCCGATCTGCGGCGGGACGTTTTTTTTTTAATTGTGTATTCGTGTTCGTCCTCGCGCCGCTGCGGCTAATGAACCGCCCGGGAGATGTTATTATGAGCGGGACAAACACCACAGAGAAGGAGAGAGGTGGGACCGACGGAATTTCGGCAAAACGTCACCTCATCATCATCATCTCTCCCAAAGTCGTCGTCATGGCCGGTGTTTTTACTGCGTGTCTTTAAAATTCTACATTGTACACAGCAGTCTGATTAATTTACAGCCACGCTACGCCACGGCTGCCGCCGCGGCGCATAAAAATTCCTCGCGTATCCGCAAAGCCCGGCCACGATTGACCCGCGCGGTGAACCCGGCCGGACCGCGCCGCGCATAGCGAGGCAAGGTCACCGCGGCCCGCCACAAGAGCCTCGGCTTTTCGCTCTGCCAGATAGCCGGCCGGCCGGCCAGCCAGCGGCCAGCCGACCGCGCGATCCAGGGGGGAGGGAAGGGAAGGGGTTCGCTCCGCCACGCCCCGCCACGCCCGGCCCCGCCGCTCCAGGCTCGTTACACTCGATCATCTTTTACGACTTGCAGATCGATCTATCGGCCAATAAGTAACCGCACTGGCCAGCGGGCCGGCCGGCCGGTCGGTCGGTCGGGCTGACCGGCTGCTCGGGCGCGCCGCAATCGCAGCCCCGAGAGAGAAAGACCGGGCAGGCAGCTCGGATTCCGAACAGATTAAGTCGAATAAAAGAGCCCAGCCGGCGGGCAAGGCAGCGGCCGAGAGGCTGGCAGCGCAGGCCGTGGTGGCCAACCGCCCCGGCAGCGCTGGCAGGCCGCGCCCAGCCCTGATTAGAGTGGCAAATAACACAGTGCGGTGTGACGGGTCAAGCAGCGTCCGGCGAGCCGACCCGGTCCTACCAGAGGGAACCACACAGGGAACCAGAGGGCCGTCATTACCGCGCCCCGGCCGCGGTCTCTGCGGCCTCCGAAATGACGACCCTGGTGGCGTCCTCCGGGTGGTGGGCGTGTCCTCCGGATCCTCCGGCAGCCGCAGTCGCGGCGGCGCGGGCCGGGCGTGGCCGGGGCCCCCCGGGGGGTACTTGACCCCGCGACATTGACCTGCTCATGCGTGCGGTCGGTGGTCCGGCTCCGGCCGCCCCGCTAGAAGAAGCTCCTCCTCCTCCTCCGCGTGTTCCTGGGAGTCCGGCGATGCGCCCGGCCTTGCCCGACTGCACCGGGACGGGGTCGGCGGCGGCGGTGGGGCCGGCGGGGCGCTCGCCACCAACCACCTGCACCTCGCCGACCTCGGCCCGGCCCGGCCGATGACCGGAGGGACTCCTGACCAGCAGCGCCCCGCCCCGCAACGGTACCCGACTGTGCGGTGCACCACCACCACCACCCCAATCGCCCGCTGGGCTGGGCTGGGTCAGGTTGCCGTCAAAGCCCGGGGGAGAGCGGGCGGGCGGGCGGGCGTTCCGAGAGGAGCCGCTCCGCCCCGCTCGGCTCGTGTCGTTGTCCCTACGGCCTACGGCCCGGTGGTAGGCAGCCCCACGGGCCGCCCTGGCCCGTCACGCGGCCAGGTGCCCGGCGGAGGAATGTCACTCACGCCCCCTGGGGCATTGGGTTAATTGCGCCGTGCCGATCCGCGTGGGCCACTTGATGGACCACTTTGAGCGGCGCCCCCCGCTGCTGCTGGCCCGAGGGGGGGGGGGGAGACCTGCGAGGTCCCCCCCTGGAGAGAGGTCCTGCGCCGCCAGGACGCCCGTGGCCGCCGCCCCCGGCTTTGATCTGCGCGGACGCCAATCGAAGCCAGAGACCCTGGTCCTTATGGTGGTCTCGACGGAGTCGACGGCGGCCGCGCCAGGGGCGTACAGTGACGAATGGAGGCGGTGGGGAGGTCGTTTGGGCCCAACCGTCAGCGGAAGTTGTAACGGCGTTCGGGACACTTAGAGGCGCACGACAAGCCGGTAGAGCGGAGGAGGTCCTTGCAGGACTTTCGCCGTGTTTCTCCTACGAAAGGACATATTGAGCCTCGCGAGCCTCGCCGTTGCCGCCGTGAGCGGAGAGCGTGGAGAGCGCGGAGCCCAGCGGTGCGCTGGGGAGAGTGCTCTGACAATGGTGAAGAGATCCTAACCTCTATGGACCCACAAAGCGCCCCCTGGACACAGCTGTGCGGGGAGCGAACTTCAGGGGGCGAGGGGCGTAGACAGATTGGCACGTTACTCACCTGGCAAATGGAGTTTGCTCCACATGGTAGTAGTTGGATATGGGCTCGTTCTTAATGAGCGATGTCAAACAATCTTCAGACACGCTGAGGAGACCGTCGTGATTGGTATTCAATGAAATACCCGCACCAAAACTGAATTTAGCCATCTTGGAAAACTTGTGGTAATCTCGTCTTTTTCAACAGAAGAGCAGCACTATTCCAGATCTGCAGGTACCAGTCTAAGAACAACAATTTACATGTCCACCATTGCCACAACCGTTACGACGCTTGGCTCCAACAGACGCCGCGGTAACCAACGCACCAAACAACGTATCCAGGCACGGAGAACACAGACTACGCCTGGCCAGAGCTCGACTGGGCTCGGCACAAACGAAAGAGCACACGTTTAATCACCAATCACTGCATCAAAGATGAATCCACACATCCACACACAACATAAACAATGGCTAGCAGACGTCCCGCATTCGGCACAACCTCCGTGGTCGCCCGCTACGATGCGACTGACTCATCCAACACCAACACCTCCCTTGCCCCCCACTCCCGACCACCTGCTCGCTCGCGCGCTGGACAGTTGACTTCAAATCTCCCGGCATTGCCAACACTGGGACGAGAAGACTTTCTCGTTTTGAAAGCAAAAGTTTGATATCGAGCAGAAAAAAACGCGATTCGTAAGATTACATCTCCTATCGGCTAAGATTCTAAAGAAGTGAACCGTTTGTTTTCTTTCTACTCACGCGATTGTGCATCTAGCAATCATGGTGGGTATTCCATCTGGGAGATGTAGGACGCCCCAGGCAACCGTTCGCGTCGACACGAGCACGTTCGTGTACGTTCGTGTGTTCTCCCGAAAGCCAGAATAAGCACCCGCGAAAACTCAAAAGAGGAGGCGAGCCATTCGGTCGGAGAAGATTTATAATCGCAAAATTCCGCCCCACATCAACGGGGAAAGAGGTTGGGAGGAAATAAGAGGTGGTTTCAGTTTTGTCAGATATTGTTTAAGTTTAATACAAACAAAAGTAAAAAAGAACAAGAAACATAAAGACATTGGCAAAGCCAATGTTTGTCTATAGGGACATCACAGGTCCTTTAGACATATAGTGACTAGCATCTGTAAACAAAATCACACTTCTAAAATTACTCAACAATAACACATACATATTCACTTATAAAACAGTTTATGGGAAAACCGTGTCAAAATAAAGATAATTTCTATAAACTAACTCAGGAATAGACTTTGCAAAACAACTGCAAAATTCACACTTAGGATAAAATACATAAATATTGTGAAAAGAAATACATTTCCACACTTTAAAATTGATTCTAACAGACCATGTGTACACTTGGAAAGTATTCAAAATCTTTACTGAAGAGACAAGAGCAAATAAAAGAAAGGTCAAATCGACATTTTGGTTTTAAGATAAAATCTATCTTTTATCTATAATATAAAACAGTTCTGAAGTAAACTTTTGTTTTTTAGTTTGTTAAAAATGTTACAGGTACAACTATCGCGTTCTATATAAATTATCATCTTATAAACCCTGTAAGAAGATTGTTCTGAGTCACTTAAAGATGTAGAAATTGGTTTGATTTCAATTTGCAATAAATGTCCTTTTGAGAGCAATCCGAATATCCCAAATTTTGGGTTCTGAAATTATAAGCAGTTTTAAACAGACAATTTCCAAAACAAATTTCATCTGATGACATGAATCAGTTATTGAGAAACTAAAATAAAATTTCAATGCTTGAAGTGATAGGATTGCAGATTTTAAAAATGGACAACATAAATTGCAAGGATTCAAAGGATATTTTGACTATCTACAGTAAAAAGTTAACAAGTCAATTTTCTATGAGAATACAGGACAAATCATATTTGATTAGCTTGGAAATGAATGTGTAACAGACTTCTCACTGAAACAATTTCAGAAACATCTCTCATGGACGGTATTATTAGCGCCAAGGCAAATAGACATGAGGAAAATGCATACTCTGGAGTAGCAACGTTGTTACGCATATTATCACAGGAACACTCAGTTTAGAGGAAGAAAAAAGAAGATTCAGAACATAGAACTGTTCTGACCATTGAATCCAAATTAGGGGAATAAGCCCAGGTTCCTTGAAAGTTGCTCACTTACTTCCGATTTTGTACACATCAATTCATAAACTTGAGACTAAATTTACTTATGACACTAATAATTTTTCTAAATAAGAGGCAGTCCTTTTCTTATTACTAAGGTGAAGACTTATTTCACAATTCACACGCAAAGGGGGTACTACCTAATGGCTAAGTATGAGTATGACTTAGATACTATACTTCATTATCTTGCGAAACCCCAAAAGAGCATATAATATTTGGTCTGACACACTGGAATAAATACATAGATAGAGTTTCATTATCTCTAAATGCACACTTTGCACATCATCCTGCAGCTTTCCAGAAAAGGAACACCCAAGTAAAGAATAACACAAGCAGCAATGATTTGAATTACCAAGAGTTGCATTAAAATGCGAAAACTAAACTCTGACACCACCTCAAAAGCATCATATCTGTGGCTTCAGATAGGTAATAATTGAAAAGACAGACCATGCAAGTGACGTGCAGAGTTGCATTAAATAAGAATGGTGGGTTGAATAGCTCCCTACACAATGATGTTGATTTTACACCAACATTCTTCCATGTGTAATATGGGAGTGACTAGACTGGAAATAAATAAATTTGTGCCTATTCTACTAGCCAGTATAAATGAGTACATTCAGTTTTGAATAATGTTAGAAGTAGTAGTGTAAGGTGAGCTTAAAATCATTAAATGTTGCACATACTCATAAGCAAAGTTATATGCTTCAAGATATAAAGAAGTCCAATGGAAGTTAACTTTTGACCATTATGACAATTGAGACAAAACAAATATCAAAATTACTGTAGTAATAGTGGTTTGATAGCAAAGGAAATTCCAACATGAAAGTACATATTAAAATAGCACTTGATTTAAACAAGTACTGTATTCCTATTACACAACACTTGAGAACTTTACTTGAGGATGTGCTACTGTACTTTAATATGAGGGGTTCTCCACTGGCGAATAGACTCTTAGCAATGAACAACACAGTCACAGTTCTCGTTAACACAGCCAGAGGGTGTTTTTGGTATTACTTCTCTTCACAGCATCAAAGTATCCATTAATGTGGTCGAGTGGATACTTTTCTTGATTTGTATGACTAACTACTCCAATCAATTTATTCAATGCCGAAAGTATTAGTTTCTTCCACAGCAAGTAGGAGTTTCTCATACAAGATCTCTGGAGTAGGGTATGGTGGAAGATCCAAACGGTTGAAGCAAGTATGAGCTCTGTTGAGGAGAAAAACATACCAACATAAGTAAAAAAAAATTATGATAGACAAAACATTGTCAGAATAGACAAATATTGCATTGATAAAATACCTTGGCAAGCTGTTGGGCTTTCCCCATTTCTCTATACAAAACTTCCTTGGCCCTGTTGAGCCACGGAGAGCAGCAAATCCTTCATATGGGATACTAGATGTGCCAGTCACAAACTGGAGCAATCTCAAGCGTTGTTCATTGCTGAAACGCTCAATAGCAGACCAGAACCACTGCATAACTGGGTGATTGTCATGGTAACCTGAAATTTGGAAAATGAAAAAAATTAATAACATCCAGTTATAAAAAATTATAAAAAATGTGTAGAGTAAGTTAGTGTTTTCTTACCAGATCTGTATTCAGTATTTTTACGCCAATCAGCTAAATCTATCTCTGCAGTACCAGCAATAACAAGTTCCAGCTCACGGGCATCAAATACAGATACAAGCCGAGGATCTACCACCTCATAAAAACCACGCACCAGTGAGTCTATTTGTTCAGAAACACCACGCTCAAGCCTCCAGCGCACAACTCTCTCTAAATAATCCTAAACAAATAAAACAATATGAAATTAAGAAATTGCTTCAAACTTTAACCTTAGAGAATTGGTCTAACTTTTATACATAACAAGAATTTGTACCTTCTTATTGGCTTCACAGACAGTAACATTCCTTCCACCGGGTTTAAGTTCACGTTCGACAACCTGTCCAAACACTTCCTCTGTCACAGCAAAAGTAAGATCAAGTACTTCTGAAGAAATATCATTTTCTTTAATCCACAGCAGACTTTGATGGAACTCTGCGTCTAATGACTCCAAGTCACTTAAATTTACAGGTCTGAAAAACAAAACAAAAAACAATAGGTATTATTTCAGGGAAAGCTCTTAAAAAGAGAGGTGACTTAGTTTGAATATTTAATATATAGATATACTCACAATCTAAGAAGAGCTTTGTAGAATGGCCGAGTGAAGAATGCATCCAACAAGTATTGATGAACTAAAGCCAATCCTAAGACACGGCCACTAAATCTAAACCTGAAATTCAACAAACCATTTAGAGAAACAATACATTGACAAACTACGGTAAGACACTTAATTAAATAAATTTCAACGTACCACTCATGATGATTGTCAACAAATGCAGACATTGGAGACACTTGAACTGTGTAGGTGTCATTTGCAGAGTATTCAAACAGACCGTAATAAGGGTTAAAGAGTTCTCTAGACAGCAAGAAGAAAAATTCCCGAGACGGGCCACCATAGTCTAAACCTTCTTCTCGGTCGAATGTTATGTACAATTTGCACTTTTGTAGATCCTTCTTGGAAGCTGCCATTATTTTACTGAAGGCATCCTCCAGGATATGTTCCCGCCTAATATGTAACCTGAAGAACACACCAAACATTGTTAAAAATTTAATTCATTACGAAAACCATTTTGCTGATTGATCGAAATGCCAATGAATGTACACTTACTTGAGCTTGCCGGGACCCTGGCCGTAGCCCTTGGACTCGAGCTTCCGGTAGAAGTTCCTCAGTTTGGCCTCAAAGTCCCTGCGGTAGGGGGCGGGCGCGCGGGCGTTCGCCCTGGACAGACCGGGGCTGGCCTGCGGGGACAGCTGCGGCGACCGCGTGCTGGAGGGCACGGCCGGCACGTAGCTCATGATCTCCTGCTCGAACAGGCTGCAACAGAGAGAGAGGGCACGCGTTAGAACATACTGTAAGCTTGCAGCGGACAGGCGGGCGCGAGCATATGCAGGGCGGCAGAGCGCCCGGGGCATAGGCAACCCATCGCGCAGCAGCGAGCGGCGGGCCCGGGCGCGCGGCACTCCCGGCGCCCGCCGAGGAGGGTGTCCCTAAACATGCTGCCTGTATCGCTCTGACACTGAACGCAAAAAAGGATAGCGATAAGTGAATGACATTTCTCCTTTTGTAGCAAAAATGTTATCGCAGTACATATTTGTTTGTTTTCGAACAATACGTGTTGCTACGAAAGTTTAGGCCACAGGAGTTGTACTCCAATCGTAAACTATCAATATTTGGGCAAATCAAAATCACTGCTAAACCGACCCTTTTTTGTAACGACGAGGAGATTGAGAACGACTTCCCTTTCTTTGGTAAAAACCGAAGAGCCGTTATTGGTTATGACGACTCGTACTACAAGGGGAGCACCATCACCTGACGACTTTTTTTCACAGTGTGCACCACCTAGACGCCCTGCGGGGCGCCCGCGCGCGGGCCGCGGGCCGCTCAAACAGCTCATTGCGACAGCGCGCCGCGAACGACGACGACGAAGGCGGGCCAAAGCGCGACGCCCATAGCCATTCCGACAAGATGGCGTCCACTTCCGGCTTGTCGGAGGCGCGATGCGTTACTGCCGAGCGGCTCGGAGCACAAAGCAGGCGCAATCCTTATCGCCCTCCGAGGCCCTCGTTCGACTCGAGGCGGCTCTGTTCGCGAGGACCTCCGCGCGGAGGACACGTTCTCGTCGGCCTTTGTGCCCCCCCGAGGCCCCCCGATCCACATCCCTACTGCCCTCTGTCCTGCCGTCCGTCGGCCAGCTCTGTTGCGTCACCGGGAGGAGGAGGCGGCGCGCGATGACCCGCGTGCTGCACCCGCACGCACTATACACGGCCGCGCCAAGGACGCGGGCCGGTGCGAACAAGTTTCCTGGTGGTGCGGTGCGGGGTGCGGGTCGCGAGCGCGGGCGGGGGCGGGGGCGGGGCAAGGCGGGGCCCACCAAGGCTGTAGTGCGCCGCGTGAAATTACGGCTTGTTTTCTAAAGCCCGCCCCGCCCCTCCCCTCCCTCTTCCCTCTTTCCTCTCGCTGCTCCCGCGCAACGTGATCATGCCAGGTGGGGTTGGCGAGGGGGGCCTCGTCGTCGGGCGCGCGAGGCGGGGCGGGGACCCCGAGACAAAGGCGCGCCCCGGTGGTGCAGCACCCCACCCCCCGAAAGGGAGCACAAGAAAAGGAAGGCGGGCAAAAACTTTTCTTTTCCCCGACGCCCCGCCCTAACACCTCCGTGACGCCGCATCGCATCCGCGTTGCGGATCTTCAATTTCAGAGGTGCAGCAAATCACAGTGTATGCAAACAGTTTTGGTTGTGTGTGTGTAGGGCTGCCGAGGAGATCGGCCCTCCTGTCCCTTCTGTTTGGCCTCCGGTTTGGAGGCGGGTGGGGCGGGGCGCACCGAGGCCGAGGCTCGTGGACAGCCCCCAGCAGTGCATGGACCCGGCCGCACAGCACACTCACACCAGGCCACGACGACCACGAGGGTCAAGTCAAGTCAAGGGCCTCCCAAACCAAAACGCCAGACAGAATGGCCCTACGATTACAGAGGGGCATTAGAGCCCCCCCCCCCCCCGGCCGCGCGCACTGTCGCACCGACAGTAGTGGTACTGTACTGTAGCGCCAGGGCCTCGCCGCCGCCGGGCCCCCCTGAGGCGCCCTGAGGACACCGCCGTACGCGACACGCACGGCGCAGTGTAGTAGTAGTACGCATGCACCATGGGACAGGGATTATTTTCGGACCGCGGCGCAACACGGCCGGGCTTGGGCTGGGGGGCGCGGGGCTGGGGG